CTAGAAAGAGAGGGAGTGAAAGAAAGAGTGAGAAAGACAAAGACAGTGAGGAAGAGAGAATGAAAAAGAGTGATAGGGAGTAAGAGAGTGAATGTGGAACAGAGAAAGTGGGGAAAAGAGAAGTGAGAAAGGGAGTGTGAGTGAGGAAACGAGAGAAAAAGGAGAGAGCAAAGAAGAAGGTGAGGGTGAGGGTGAGGGTGAGGGAGAAAATGAGAGAGAACAAGAGAATTGGAAATGGATAGTGTGGAAGAAAGACTTACAAAGGGAGTTTTTTTTTAAGCCTTTCACCCCAAGCAAGTCGGGAAGCCACTAGAACGCAAGGGGTTACAGAAGATTTGGAGCAAGATCAGATAGGAGTGATAGAAGAAAGGATGAGGAGAAGAATATGGATAGATCAACTGGAGATGTCGATTGACATTACATTTGAATAGTTAGAGATTATAGCTCTCAGGGAAACTGGAGTAGGGAAAGGAAGTTCCACAGGCGAGAGGTGCGAGACATGAAGCTATTGGAGTAGAAGAGATAGCTACATTTAGGAGTTTCGACAGTGAAGGGGTGAGAGCGGGATGCTAGCCTCGTAGGGCGCTTGAACTCATGAAGTCTGGGAACCAGCGAATGCAGCTCCTTTGAGCAGTGTAAAAAAAGAGAGTGAGAATTGGAGAGAGATGAAGATATAGAGTGAGAGAGACTGAGAAAAAGAGGGGGTGAGGGAGGAGGAGTGAGGAAGAGAGAGAATGTGAGGAAGAGAGATTAATAAAGGGAAGGATTCAAGAAAAGAGTGAGTGAAGATGGGAAAGTATGCAGGAGAGAAATAAGAAATGGTGTGAGAGTCTGTAAGAGAGAGAGAGAGAGAGAGAGAGTGTGTGTGTGTGTAAAAGAATGTGTGAGGAAGAGTGAGGAAGAAAAATAGTGAGGAAGAGAGATTAACAAAAGGAGAATATGAGGAAGAGTGAGAGAGATTGTAAAAAGAAAAGTGAAAAAGAGAGCGAAAAAGAAAGTGTATGTCAAAAAGAGAGTAAGAGTGATAGTGTGAGGAAGAGAAAATGAAGAAGAGAGTCAGTGCAAAAGAGAGAAGAGAAACAGTCAGAAAGAGAGTGAGGAAGAGAAAAAGAGTAAAAATGAGAGAGTGCGATAAAAGGGGAGAAGGTGGGCGTTGGATAGCATTACTTGAAAGTTGTATCAGTCGCACTACAGATATGACAGTAAGGGAACCAGAGTCAGGAGAGACAGCTAATTAATCAGGCGGGTCTCCTTCCATAACACCGCCCGTTTTTCTTCGCCCTCACAGCGTAGGAAGCATCAACACCTTCCTTACCATAATTAGACTTAATCTTTCTTTTCGCCTCTCACTTTAATGAATTCTATCTCTTTTCTCTCCCTCTCTAATTCTCTCTCTCTCTCTCTCTCTAAATATATATATATATATATATATATATATATATATATATATATATCGTTATATGTCTTACTTCCATTTGTCTCCCCCTCTATTTCCATTCACGTTTTATTTATTCGCGCCACTAAATCTGTAGAGTATTGATCATCATCGTCATCAACAGCGTAGAAAGCATCAACATTCTCCTTACCATCATTAGACTTACTCTTTCTTTTCGCCTCTCACTTTGATGAATTCTATCTCTTTTCTCTCACTCTGTTTCTCTCTCTCTCTCTCATGTCTTACTTCCGTTTGTCTCCCCCTCTATTTCCATTCACGTTTTATTTATTCGCGCCACGAAATGGCATCTGTAGACTATTGATCATCATCAACAGCGATAACAACAACAATTTCTTCAACTTTAATGTGCTGCGTCCTAATCAAGACGTGGGCGATCATGGCTTTCCACAACTTCCCTTCCTTTGTCGTGTCTTAGAAATTTGTTTTTCACCATTCCTTCCAGTTGCTATTCTGCCATCCCTCTACACAAGCTTGTCATAGTGCCTTACCAAGCGTAGTTTAGACGTGGCACAAGGCTGATAGTATGGAGTACCAAGTAAGGATCAAACTCATTATTCAGTAGTAAGTCATCTAGCGAGACAACCTTGCTAATCATTACGATTTTCTAAGCGTTGCTAAGATGTGATACAAAGAGCACTCGGTGAGGATCGAACTATCTACTCATGAGCTTGTCATGTAAGCAAATCCTTGTTTCCTTTTCGCCATCAATATGAGTGTGAAATTCTCCAAACCCTCTTTCCTCATTGTGTGCCCTAATTTAACATATATAAGCGTCATTTTTGTTCCTATTTTCCTTAAATCTTACAATATTTTACTGGGAATAACACGGGCCGAACAGGTGAGCAACGACAAAGTTTTTAAAGAAAATGGAAAAAGAACGTTAAACATAAAAATGTCTTTAATAAATAAATTGTCGGACTTTGGCCATTTCTTAATATATGGCGTCATTTGTTTACATTTGATACGCCAGGAGCAGTTATGAATGTACGAGATTCATGGAAGATTGAAGTTTATAAGCAGTAAATTCAACTTTGCCAACCGAACGATCTTTTGTGGCCGAGCGGTCAAGGCACTCGTCAGCGTAAATGACGGTTCCGTATAGGATGCAGGTTCGAATCCTGTCAAAGGACGAATATTTTCTATGAAAATTTCTCGGACATTCAGGCCGGTAAATGTTATTTAATACTGTTTATTATAAACAGAGCATTTACTTAAATACTTGTATCTATAAAAAGAACGTTAAACATAAAAATGTATTTTATATATATATCATGTTAATATCCACGATTGTAACATGCTGGTCCTGTTGTCAAAAATCAAGGAGATCTAACTGCGAAATAATATATTTTTAATCTAAATAATAAATGCGAATATTAGTGTATCAATGTGTCATCTTTACTCCTACAGGCCGTATCCTAACATATATAATTTTGGCATCAAGCCGACTCCGTGGACAAATTTAAGACATTCCTTGCCGGATCCTGACCCACAATCCTGAAATTTTGGATTCCCAAGTTCTCATTTTTGCCATTGTTTTCGGATCCCACCATTTTGGCTTCTACTGATAAAAACAATTAAAGGGACACAACTCTTTGAACTTTCAATAGCTCATGTTCAAATGAAACAAAATTACTGTTCACAAATTACGGTGTTTCAAAATAAAATTATCCGTCTTTTAAACTTTACTCATTGAGGCCGTAGCTCAACTTATCATAGCATTTTGGAATCAGGCCGACTCTGTGGGCAAATAAAAAAAAAAACATTCCGGGCGGAACTTGACCCACAATCATGAAATTTTGGATTCCCAAGTTTTCATTACTGGGATTGTTTTTGGCAATATTTTTACGTGATTTTTTGTGACAATTTTTTTTGTACGATAACAAATTTTATACCTTGGAAATAAATTTGGGATTAAACGAAATTAACTGCGAAATTCATGGATAGTCACCCATGAAATAGAAATAATTGTTTGTACGGAAAGTAAGGAGCTACGTACATCAAAGTGTTTTTAAATTAAGTGGCAACAGAAGAATTATCGAACTTTTAAGTTTAACTTAAATATTAATGTAATACTTAAATGCATCGTTCACATTTGAGTTCTTCTGCAGTTTATTGTTGCCTATCGCATCTACTCCACCTTACCTATTGCGAGGAAGGCTGAGTCAAGAGCTCTCCGCAGGTGCTAGCTTAAATGCAGACAGATAGGGTGGCTTTTAAGATAGGTATGTTATAAAGCTGTCGTTTAATTTTTTTACATTCCATCCAGTTAGGTGACCTCAAATATATTGATGTCAATGAAAAACAATTATAGTAGTAGTAGCAGCAGCAGCAGCAATAGTAGTAGTACTAGTAGTTGGGGCATGGGCTTCCAGGAATCCCTTCAGTAAGTCTACTGGAATATTTTCCAATCAAAACTACAACAGAAATTGTTTATGTTCACATGTTTCACATTTTTGAGATTTCTATTTCAAGGTCCTTTGTATTTTGATAGCTTTTTGAAGATCTTCAAAGATACATTGCAGTCTGCAGGGACTGCCATATCAATAAGGAGCCAATTTTTTTTTGTTTGCGGTCTCTAATAACAATGTCTGGGTGGTTAGCTTTGATTGTTCTGTCAGTGTGTATTGTGTAGTTCCATACAATTCTTACAGGTCCTATATCCGTAACCGGGTCTGGTTGGTGTTCATACAAATTTCTTTCAGTTTTCCGGAGTTGGAGATTTTCCAGTGCAGATATTGGCCCACTCTGTCATACCGGGTTTTATCCTCAGTGGGTGCCAATGTCGTGCAACCTGACTTTATTATTATTATTATTATTATTATTATTATTATTATTATTATTATTATTATCTTTGATTTCTGGTGTGTGCACATTTCTTTCCGGGACCCGCCCTGAGATCTAAGGACAGAAATGGCATCATGACATTTTCCTCTGACCAATTAAAAAATAAATTAAAAAAAATAACACACATATTTTACATAGATAAAGCCCTTCGTAAGATGTGGTCTGTACTCGTGAGAACAATGTTTTGTATTACTTTTAGGCATGGGCTACAAGGAATCTCTTCACTGAGTCTACAGGAACCTGAGTCTATTGGAATATTTTCCAATCAATCCGAGGGCCCCAAATACAACGGGCAATGTTTATGTTGCCATGTGCCACATTTTCGAGATTTCAATTTCAAGATCCTTGTATTTTGACAGCTTTTTGAAGATCTTCAAAGATACATTGCAGTCTGCAAGGACTTCCATATCAAGAAGGAGACAATTCTTTTGTTTGCTGTCTCTAATAACGATGTCTGGGTGGTTAGCTTTGATTGTTCTATCTGTGTCTCTTATGTAGTCCCATAAAATTGTTAAAGGTCCTATCCTCTTCTTTGATTTCTGTTGTATACACATTTCCTTCCGGGTCCCAACCATAGACCTAAGAACAAAAAGGATTTCATGACTTATTCCAGTGACCATTTTTGTAAAATTTTTGTAGATAAAGCTCTTCGTTATGTGTTAGCGGTAAACTTCATGTATTCCTTTAAGTTATGGGCTACCCGGAATCCCTTGAATGAGTCTAACGTGCCCTTTTACAATCAATCCGTGAGCTACAACTGCAGTTATTGATGGCCTCATGTGACACCTTTTTTGAGATTTCCATTGAAAGATCCTTGGATTTTGATAAATTTTGAAGATCTTCAAATATACATTACTATCTGCATGGGACGCCATATCAATAAGAAAGCACATTCTGTCCTTGTGGTTTTTGACCACGATGCCTTGACAGTTAGCTTTGATTGTCCTGACTCTTTGTAAAGGCACATAAAATTGTTTCAGCTCCTATCTGTGTAACGGGATCTGGGTGATGTCCATACCAGTTTCTTGTCTGTAAAATTAGCATATTTTTCAGCTCGGATAATGGCCGAGTTTTACATTCAGTGGGTGCCAGCACTGTGCAACCAGACGCAAGATGATCAATTGTTTCTGGATAGTTATCACAAAATCTGCATTTGGTATCAATACAATTTATCAGTATGTGTACTTGATTAATATTATCATTATTATTTTATTGTCTTTAATTTCTGATGTGTACTCATTTCTCTCCGGGTCCCGCCCATGGACCTAAGGTCAGAAATGGCATTATGATATTTTCCTCTGAGCAATTAAAAAACAAACAAAACAAAAAGAAAAACTTATTTTACATAAATAAAGCCTTTCGTAATGTGTGGGCTGTACTCGCGAGAACATTATTTTTAGATTTCTTTTAAGCATAAGCTACCAGGAATCTCTTCACTGACTCTACAGGAACCTTTTCCAATTAATTCTAGGGATCCAACCACAACAGAAATTGTTGAACTTCCCATATGCTATATTTTCGAGATTACGATTTCAAGGTCGTGGTATTTTGATAGTTTTTTGAAGACCTTCCAAAATTCTTTGAAGTCTGCAGGGACTGCCATATCAATATGGAGGCAATATTTTTGTTTGCTGTCTCTAATAACGATGTCTGGGCGGTTAGATTTGATTGTTCTGCTGTGTGTATTATGTAGTCCCATAAAATTGTTACAAGTCTTATCTCCGTAACCGTGTCTGGTTGGTGTTCATGCCAGTTATTATTATTTTATTTTTTTATTTCTTTCCGATTTCTTTGCTATGCAAGATATCGAAGTTGGCTCTTACTGGATGAAATTTATCAGCCACTCAATCAATTCCTTTGTCCATTTTAGGCATCAATCTGCTTATCAATGAGAATCGATGGTATCTCGATATGGCTAACTGCAGCTGACTATGACAAATTATGAGGAAACTGAAACTCTCAGCCAAATGTAAGGGTCATTTGGTCAGGATCTTCTCAGC